GCCATCATCTTTACCATCACTCAGAGGTGAAAGAAGAGAGAGCAAAGGAAAGAAAAAAGGTGGTACAGACAATATAGCGTTCGTGTCAGAAAATGGAATATCCACTTCCCTTTCATATTTCTGAAGTCTTTCCCTTCCCTACACTAATAATTACTGGAATCTTCCTAAAAATTCCAGTGAGCAAAATTTAGAGTAACTCTTACCGGCATCTCATTAGGAATTAATTTATTCACTTGGGGATAGTTTCCCTTAAGTTTCTTGTTTTAATTTTCAGGAATTTTACCCCTGGATTCTGAAGACCCTGGACTTTGTGAAGTGGTGAGAGTACATGAGCACTACTTGGGTATGTGGCAGTTCAGTCTTGGAGCTCATATAAGTCTTACTTCACTGCAGTGTGGTATGTAGTGACTTTTAATGTCTTTGTACCTACCGTGAGTGTACATCAGAAATAACTGTTGGCTGGTCATGTGAGTACCTCTAGCTTATAACATAGTATCATAAAATTCATATTCATACTGAACAGTATGTAGAACTTTAAGTTTCATTTATAATGCTCATGGTAAGAGGTTTGAAAAGCAATTTCTCCCTTGGCTCTGAGCTATTCCTAATCAGAATATTTTTAATTACGCTTGGTTATTAATTGAAATTGGAAATGTTAATTTCAAATTTTTTTAATTAAAAAATCTAAATACATGTAGAGTCTGAGACAGGAAAGAATCAAGAACACTTGTCTTTGCTTTCTATTGCTAAAACTTTTTGACAAGTACTCAGTTTAACCGAAATGTTAATTTTTAATTTTTCTTATAGTAATTTACTACTTGAATATTTAAATTAAAATAAATATAAATACACACACTTCATGAAACCATAGTGAAAAGATGTTGCGTCTCCTTAGTAATCAGGGGAAAACAAATTAAAGCCCCTTAGAGATGCTGTCGTGCACCCACAAGATTGACCGTTATAAAGTCAGACCATTTCGAGGATCGGGAGGGATGTAGAGCAATGGGAACTTTTATACGCCAGCAGTGTCAGTTGGTACAAGTGCACTGGAAAGCAATTTAGCATGATCTCATAAAGGTGATGGTATCTACTCAGACCCAATAATCCTACTGGTAGATTTGTACCTCACAGAAACTTGATGTGCTCCCACAGACATGCGCAAGAGTTCATAATAGCATGGTTTGTAATTGTGAAATAAAAATGGAAATAGCCCATGTGTTCATCGCCAGGAAAATGGATAACTAAAGAGATCCCTAGATGGTAATTCAAGTCAGCAGTGNATGTGTATATGTGTATAAAGATATCCCTGTAAGTGTAAAGGTTAAATGCTTTGAGATTATTTAGATTGAAATGAAGTACAGTGTTTGTTGTTCTACTTTGTTATCCTAAGTTTGTCTAACAGATTTAGAGGGTGCCAAAAAAATGTATACACATTTTAAGAAAGGAAAAAAACTATATTAAAATTGTTATAATATACACCAATAACAAAAGATGAATTACAAGTCATGTGTATACATTTTTTTTGACACCCCTGGTATATCCATGTCAGTATCTGAGGACATTTTCAAAATATATACCCTAAGGCTTTTTAAAAATTTTACCCCAAAATTTATTTTATGTTTGATAATATACTATTGGATAATTACTTACAGCTTTTTCAATTAAGTTAGCTATAAGATTTGGGGTCTGTTTAATTTTGTTCAATTATGTATGAAAATTGCACAACATAAAGGCATGTTCTCAAAGGAATGTGTAATGTTTTGTTATTATTTGGTTCTAGGAAAATCTTCCTGTTCCAGAGGATAACTATGTGAAAGTTCAAGTTAAAGCTTGTGCTCTGAGCCAGATAAATACGAAGGTATTGGTGTTTTCATTTTTGCCAAAAGTCAAATGAGAGTTTCATAGTATATTTAGTGTACAAATGTATCATGATCACTGACTTCTGAGTGCCAAGAAATTATTATCATCCTCAGAAGACTAGAATAGCTATGGAAAAAGTTTAATGTGAATTTCTATATTTCTATATTAAGGTAAATTATTAGTCTAACTGAAGTCATGTATTTTATATTGTTATATGAAAATACCTTGTAACTCTTTTACATTGTGAAAGGCAGAGAATTTATAATTACTAAGGCCTATAACCAAGGAAGAAATTACCCTTATAAATATAGTGAAAATATAGAATCCTAATCAACTAATTTATCACCTGTACAGTCTGTAGGTATTTCTAGTTTATGCCTTTAGATAGAGTTTATATTCTTCTAGTCATTTCTCTTTGTCTCTCACTCTCCCTCTCTCTCTCATACATACACATCCCCAACCTCACACCACCCCACAATAATCTTCCACTATTGACCATGAAATACATGGCAAGTTTTCAAATGGTAAACTGCAGTTAAATGTGCAGTGATAAATATAGCAGGTCTGTTTACTCAGTTTTGTAAAGATTAATGCCATAGTTTTATTGGACATTTAACTTATTGGTTTATAACGTCACCCTAATTTCTAGGAATCTAAAAGTTTTCTGTAATGAAGTCACATTTAGGGAAATTACAGAACAAAGTTGTAGGCTTCCATTGGGCACTTCTGTAACATGAGCCTGACTTGAGAAGTGAATTTGTGAGACGCTGAAGTCCTTTCACTAGGAATACTAATACTATTCCTTGTTTGCATGGTTCTGTTTTCAGTCCTTCCAGGGTGTTCTCTTTAAAACTATGAAAAACTCATTAAAATCCCAGTCTAGGAAATTATCTCATGTCTAACAGAAACAAATAGTAATTATAATAAAATCAATTCAATGAAATATTACACAACTGGTAAAAATAACATTTATGAAAACTGTGTAGTAGTGTAAAAAAAATGCTTATGGTAAGTGAAGAAGACAGGATGCAATTGTTAGAACCATGATTATAGCTCTGTAAAAGTGAGCATAAAAGAAATAATGTAAAACACCCAGTATTTCTATAGGAGTGTCATGTTAACATCTTAGGAAATGTTAGAAGCTCTACATTGAAAAAAAGAATTGTCTGG